TTTAGTAACGACGGCAAAGTGTAAATAAAGCTGCCTTTGGATATTGTTTTCATCTTTCCGGCTCTTTTCCTTTGTGTAATGCGTATAAATTGGCTCTGGATACTTGGGAATTATGGGTAGAGATTTTTAATATTATTAAGCTGATATGTTGATTTTGTTACACGCTACTAACATTATTCTATCATTATAGTCATGATTAGGGTTGGAATCGGTTCGGTTACCGAACCGATAAGCTCAAACCGATACCGAACCGATATTTTCGGTAACTATAAAATGAAAACCGAAACCGAACCGAATCTTAGTCGGTAACCGAGTCTTCGGTTACCGATAACTTGGTTGGGTTTCGATTTTAACCGATAAAACCGAAAAAAATTAAAAAAAAAATCATGGTTATAAAACCGAACTAGACCGGCCATTTGAACCGGTTCTAAGAGAACTAATTCGAAAACCGGAGCAGTTTGTTGTAGTGAACCAAGAACCGTTAAAATCAATTTAAAATAGGTAAAACTGAAAAACCAATCCGTTAAAGAAATAGTTTTGATTCCAAAATCCAAATTACCCAGGTTAATTAAAAGTAAAAGTGACCCCTTCATTTTATAGTCATACTCTACCTTCATTTTGGCTTCTAAAACCAATGTAGGACTTAATATGTGAACTTAAAAGTCCTCAACATTTTATAGTCTCTATTTGCCTTTATTATAGCTTTCTTAACCAATGTGGGACTAAACCTCTTCATTTGTCTTTATTACTATAATATTTTATATAATAACTTATATATGTTTATTATATTCAAATATATTTTTTTTATTTAAGTATATATTTATTATTTGACTAACAAAATTTTTTTAAAAAATATATAAAAGTGGGATATGCATTTTCTTTTATTTTATAAAAACCCACAACATATCAATTATTTTTTTTAATCTATCAATATATGGACATGTATGACAAATATTTTTAGCTTGACTAAGACAATATTGAACAAATATGATTCATAAATTGTTATGATCTAACCAAAAGAATATAATTTTTAATAAAATTACTAATAGTTATACTATATTCGGATAAAATTGTAATTAATTAGCTTCATTATTGCACAATGTATGAGCATGGACTAGAGTGTGCCAATTTGTCATTTATCCCACATTGGTTGAGATAACCAAAATGAAGGGACAAATTGACTATAAAATGTTGGGATTTAGTCCCACATTGGTTGAGAAAGTTATAATAAAGGCAAATAGATGCTATAAAATGTTGGAGACCTTTAGGTTTACCTATGAAGTCCCACATTGATTTGAGAAAGCGAAAATGAGGGTAGAGGGAGGCTATAAAATTATGAGGTCACTTTATCTTATAATTTGACTTGGCCATCCGAATTTTAAAATTGAAACCGTTTTTTTAAACGATTTTCTAGTATTATTATTGGTTTTATGCCGGTTTGAACGGTGTTCTTATCGGTTCCATGTTGAATTTGTTCAATACAATGGTTGTGTATGAGTATACTAAGGTTTTTTTTTTTTAAATTGTTATTGATTCGATTCGGTAAATCGAACCCTTATGGGTTCGGAACCGATACCGAATCGATAACGTTTCGGTTATTGAAAATCGATTACCGTTACAAATGGTTCGATTCGATTTATTTTTAAATCGGTTTTAATGCAAGTGTAAGCGTCTGAGTCCGGTTTGGAGTAGATCAGTTCTTGTCCTCGCCGGTAAAATGTCGGAAACCTGCAAATAACTCTCACACCGGGGGTTGGGTCCGGTGAAGAGCCTCCGA